AAACTAAACATCCTACAGTATTTTTACAGTCTTTATTTTACAGTTAAAATAAATGTTTATTAAACAAAGTCTAATGTTACAGCTAATCATGGATCCCTTTAATAAAGGGTTAATGGTCCAAACCTCCCAGTGAACACGGGCCTCACAGGTCGTAGAACAGAGGGTGCTGCAGGGCAGCAGCAGCTGTGATTCTACTGGACGGGTTCAGGTCCAGCAGCTGATCCAACAGGTCGTAGGCCTCATCCGGAACCGCGTCCCAGCCCAGCTCATCCTCGCCTTCCTCACTGCCCCATGCTGGGGTTGAGAGGCGGGTGGAGGGTTCTCTGTCTGGGTGGGTGGGAGTCTCACTGCGGACCTCTGAACAGGTGGTCTCTGCAGCCGGGGTGACTCTGTGGTCTCCTGAGGACCTCCTTCCTCTCAGGGTCTCGCACAGCGTCCGGAGGTCCTGACGAGGAAGCTCCTGACTGCACACCAGCGCCTTTCCTTAAACGAGACCAGAACAGTCAGTTCTGCCACAGAGCTGGATCAGAACCTCTGGAGACGGTTTCATTAAAACACACCGAAGGTCTTGGCTGCACGGATGGTCTCTCTGGATCCTCTTACAGTCATGATCTGAGCGAGGGCAACCAGGTCGTCACTGGCCTTAAAGAACGGGTACCGCCCACTGAGGAGGGACAGCAGGATGACACCGGCTGACCACAGGTCGATGGCTGAGGACAGGAGCAGGGAGACATGCTGGTCTGAAGAGCTCATCAAACATGAGTCTGGGAGAAATCTGGTGCCAGTAGGAACTGAACTGGAATTTTTCAGACTGAATCTGAATGTGTTTAATTTTAAATATAAAGCATTTTACTAAATTTAAACTGAATTTAAAGTTTTGAATTAATTTGCTTTGAAACTGTATTTTAGTTTATTAAAAATTCAGTTTGACTACTTTCACTTTCAGTTCACACATCCTGGTCCTTGAGAAAGCCAGGCAGAGTAATCAAACACAGATCCACAGATTTACATCATGGATCAGTCAGCAGCAGCATCTGATCAATATGTGATCCATGATGTGATGTAAATGTAACATTTTCTACATATAGGTCAAATTAATCACTGCAATAAAATAACTTTGTTTTTGTCACTTTTACAGTGGATTGCATCAACTCTGTTACATACAGAAGGGAAACGTCACCAAAGTGAAACATAAATCTGTGGATCTGTGTTTGATTACTCTGCCTGGCTTTCTCAAGGACCAGGATGTGACACAAAAATCTGAATTATGGAACTGAAAGTGAAAGTAGTCAAACTGAATTTTTAAATGGATCCCTGGTTAATTGTAACATTAGACTTTATTTGATAAACATATATTTTAACTGTAAAATAAAGACTGTAAAAATACTGTAGGCTGTTTAGTTTTGTACATTTTTTAAAATATATTTTAACACGGACGTAGTCATTTTATTTCCACACAAAGCATTCTGGGTAAATGATGACGTGGATAGGTCCTCGGTGCGAGGCTGCTAGCGAGCTATATCCACCCTGAAGGTTAATCTTGGACAATATCTGATGATCGACTCTTTTAAATGAAACCAGAGAGCGTTGACAGAGAGGAGAAGGTAGAAATGACTCAGCCTGGAACTGAAAATATGGATGGAGGACAACAGAGCTGCTTCATGGAAGAACAACCTCAGATTAGCCTGTTAGCCTTAGTGTTAGCCCCGATGCTATCACTATATATATGTATTAGCTCAGCGCTACACATTCTCCTCTCGTCACTGAGGTCCTCCATCCACATGACAGAGAGGGGAACACAAAAATGACTCAGCTGTAACTGAAAATATGGATGAAGGACCTCAGTTTAGCTTGTTTGTCTCGCTAGCACCGAGCTAATACATATATAAGGCGATATAGTGTCAGTGCAAAGGCTAACAGGCTAAGTTGAGGTTGTTCTTCCATGAAGCAGCTCTGTTGTCCTCCATCCATATTTTCAGTTKCAGGCTGAGTCATTTCTACCTTCTCCTCTCTGTCAACGCTCTCTGGTTTCATTTAAAAGAGTCGATCATCAGATATTGTCCAAGATTAACCTTCAGGGTGGATATAGCTCGCTAGCAGCCTCACACCGAGGACCTATCCACGTCATCATTTACCCAGAATGCTTTGTGTGTAAATAAAAAGGCTCAGTCCGTGTTAAAATACATTTTTAAACTTTTAGTGTAAAAATGATAAAAACTGAACATCCTACAGTATTTTTACAATTTTTATTTTACAGTTAAAATATAAGTTTATTAAATAAAGTATAATTTTACAACTAATCTGGGATCCCTTTAATTAACCAAAATACAATTTCAAAGCAAATTAATACAAATTGAAAACTTCAAATTCAGTTTCAATTTAGTAAAATTCATTTTCAAATTCTGCACATTCAGATTCAATCTGAGGAATTCAAATTCAGTTCCTGCTGCCACAAGATTGATCTCATAGATGATGTCATACTAGACAACAGTTCAGTAGCTTCTGTAACATAAATGTAACCCTGACAGTGCACGTGTTGGAGATTTATATTATTCACATCCCAGAGGCTTCAATAAACACTGCTATAAATCTAGACATGTATTGTGTAATAAATGTGAAACCTGACCTGTTCTGATGAGTCTGACCTTTGACCTGCAGCTTCACTACTGTATAACAACAAAGGTGTTTGTGGTTCCAGGCCACTCACCTGTGCCTTGGTTGGGACACTTGGTGAGTATTTCAGGCGCTCTGAAACCTGGAGTCCCAGCTCTTGGCGCCACCTGCTGTTTCCTTCAGTGAAACACAAGAAGAGAGTTTAGAACAAAAAGCTCCTGTTTGCTGTCAGAACAGACAGATTCTCTCTGTTAGCAGTAAAACTGGAGACAGGACGGTGTTTATACCTGGCCATGCAGATGTTGCAGACTCTGTCAGTGAGGTAACAGCTGCATGTCAGCCCCTGCTGGACCACCTTCACTGGCTTCTGACTGCTGCTCTGAGTCCTGACAGGAAGTGAGACTCGGGGGGCTGGATCATCAGTCTTTCTGGGTTTTACCTGCTTGAGACCAAGCAGTGAGGAGTAAAAACTCTTGTTACTGATGATGTCTGCTACTGTTCAGTGTTAACGGAACAAACACATTAATACTTTAAAGGGTCAATATCATGTAAAATCAACTTTTTAAAGTTTTATATCATGTTATAATGTTATACTGTCATAAAAACATGTCCAAAGCCTTGCTCTGACTCATTCATCATGTTTGAGAAATCCTGCAGTGTTTTTATGAAGCCATGCTGAGGAGCAAAACGACAGGTGGGGACCAGAAACACCTCTGGGACGTGTCTTTAAGCTGAACTTCCTCATGGTGGAGCACACCCCCTCCTCCTCCCCACACACCCCGCCCATGACTCCTGCAGGCTCTCGGGTGAAACTGAAAGTGAAACCTAACTGTCTGCTGAGCTCTCAACATTAATTTTCACTCAGTGAAGCTCTTATCAGATTAAAAATACATTTGAGGAAATGTATTTTCAGATGCCAAGTAAACTGCATCATAGCGCATGCGCGCACTGAAATGGACGGGGCAGAAGTGGAAGGTGGTTCTTAAAGAGACAGAGGCCAATTTCAAGGCATTTAGAAGAGGAAGTGATGAGAAGAAAAGTTTATTTTCTATTTAAACATAAAAACAGCATTTTAATAACAGCTAAATGTGACATAGATACTTTATAATGGTATAGTATTTAAATATATGTCTGAGAAACACATAATATTGGCCCTTTAAATGTCATTTTCCTGCTGCGTTACAGTTGAAGCTGCAGCCAGTTAGCATTTCTAACTAAACACGTCTGTCTCAGTGTACGCTGCTACGCTGAGGTGCACTAAAATATAATCTGTTTTCAGATATTTTCCTGCCAAATTGAAATTCAAAATAATATTAATAATAAATAATAAATAAAGAGACCAGTTTAGAGGTGGATAGTAATAGGTTGCCATTCTTCATGGCAATCCTAATAAATAAAGTTTGCATAAAACCCTAAAGGTAAATGATTCTTCAGCATCATTATGGGATGGTGATTCCTCTGACGGTCACACAGTGTGTGTTTCTGATCAACCTTCAGCTCCATTCTTCATGCAGACTCATTAACTGCAGTGTCACCAACAGGAAATACCACTCTGAGTTTATCAGACTCACTTCCTGTGTACGCAGATAAACAGGAGTCCATCCCTGCTGCCCTCTGCTTCATTCACTTTGTTCTTTTAATTCCCCTGAAGGTTTTGTTTCTTCATTTTTGTTGCAGATTGATTCTTGCAGTCAGCTCGTTTTCCAGATAAAATTGAGATAAAGTTTTGATTACACGTCTCTGTTTCCCAGAAAAACTCTCAAATCACAACATGCTTCTGACGTGTTGTAACTGCTCCCAGAATAGCTGTGATTTTAGAGCTAAGGGGGAGTTTAAGTGCAGTGTTTGAGGTGGACAGAAGGGTTCAGGGAAAATGGCAGTTTTGGACGGTCCTGTTTCCCTGCATTCCTGCGGCTCTTTGTGATATTCTACGTTTGTCAAGTGTGAGCTTGATGCAACGCAGTGACATGTTTGCATGTGTTGTTTCCTCCCTGATTCATGCAAACAGGAGGTGTGGCTGCAGCTTTTATATTCCTCCTCAGTTCACCTGCTGCAGAATGAAATCAGATGAGCTGAAACTGGACAGAAAGTTCTGGTTTCAGTCGTTCTGGTGTGGTAGAAACCTGCCTTTATTCATTTCTTACATATCAGGACGTAACAGAAGTAATTCAAACAATCAAATAATGGTTTAATAATTTACCAACTATTAGCAACATGTTACTAACAATTTTCATAAATAATTGAATTACTATGTTATTACAAAGTAATTACATAGTAAATAATAGTGTATTACGATATTAAACTCAGTTTAGTGGGTATTTACAATAATAAAGCTCAATAGTACTTAAATTACACAGCATTTAGCAACA